ACCCATGAAGCGCCTTACAGCTGCTACTTCTTTGATACCCCAATAAATTGGATCTTATCAAATCTAGAGTGAAACCTTGTAAACCATAAAGTAAGATTATAATCGAATACAAACCTACATTTGGGTTGAACGACTCCCAAATCTGCAAAATTGGCAAATCTGCACTTTTAAGCCAAAAATATGTATAAAAAGTCTCCATATTTCGTGTGAACAGGACGGTGACGCTGGCGAATTTTACGAGCTCTTCTGAGGTACAGGTGACCTGGGACGAGTTATTGGACATCGGGCGGAAAATACTTAACAAGATCCCGCTAAACGGAGCTGTCTGGTAAAAAAAATACATACTTCATGGATCTGATTATACAGTTTATAAGGGTCTGATAATAAAGCCCAGAAAGCAAGCAAAATAAAACATTCAAATAAACCCAGATATGTTAAAATTCCTATTTATATTGCAATAAAGGTATCCGGATGGCGGATTGACGAGTTCGCGGCTGTATCACAACTTTCGCGTCGTGTTTTTCCACTGGTTGCCTGCAATCATCGTTGATACTATCCTGTTCCTACTCAGATTCGAGCCTGTGTAAGTATTGTTATGTTTTAAACAGCAAAAATACCGTAGTCTAAAGGCGGCTGACAAAATTTAAAATTAAAATGTAACACAATGGAAAAGTCTTTGGATCTGACAGGATTCGAACTTCATTTGTAATGTAATAAACTAGGGAACCCCGCTCTATCAACTGAGCTACAAATCGAGTCAACAGACCTTTGTTTTTAATTTAAGCCGTAGCACCACCTATGACAAATGCATGAAGGTTATTTCTATACTTAACCAGGTACTTTTACTGCTATCAGAGATCGCAAAAAGATGTCGGTTTTAGAAATTGTAATACTGATTTTATTATTTAAATAAATATTAGACAACATCGCAGACGTTGCATTAATCTCAAAGTAAATAGCTAAAGCACTTGTGTTATGGAAATCGGAAACAACGACGGTACCACAAACACCCAGTCTCGAAACAATATAGAAAAGTTAGTTTCTACATTGACCCGGCCGGGGATCGAACCCGGGACCTCAGAGATGGCGACACCATGAAAACCGGTGTACCATCCACTCGACCACGGAGGCCTTCGAATTATATATTTTGTAATATTAAGTTCATTGGACGTGACGATGTTTAATTACGACCACAATATTTAATTATGTTTATAATTATTAAAACAAAGATTACACTAAAAAAAAATTCCTACCGTCCTTTTAGTTCTGAATTGGTTCTAAATCAAAATTCTGTTGTCTATGGTACTCGCTGCCGAACTGAAAAATTTCAATATAGGTCTGTACACAGAATTGACCATGAGTTTAAAAAAAAAGAACGTCGTATTTTTGCTAATTAAAATATTAAATATGACGCAGCGTCTTGCGACGCAAACGCTCTACTGCTGATTGGTTAAATTGGCCTAAAAATATGATGCGGTACTTGGTCATTTCTATTCTATCCTTTGTTTTTTTGTTTTGTAGCGTTTGTAACTTTGTTGTCATGGATTGTTAACAAAATATACAATAAATATTGGTTGCGTTTCATCGTTTTATTTACTCGTAAAAAAAAGTATTGTACGCAATCATTACATAATAAGGTCTTAAAATCTCGTGACTGTTACTAAGGCCACTCTGCAGTACTTACTTTATAAACCCTCATTATGCAAAGGTTGCATAAAATACTATTTTTTGCTAGTAACATTTTTTCAAGCACAGTTTTTTATGTACGTATTTGAAACTCTTTCTTTCTTGTATACATTTCAGTCTCATCCGTGTACAACGTCGACTGACAAAAGGTAGAGAGTTGTTCGAGTTCTACACTAACAGCCAGTGGTATTTCAAATCTGACTTTGGGCAGTTGGTTCGCATGCGACTCAACGCCCGCGAGCTCAAAGAATACAAAGTTGACACTACTGGTAAACAATTATATTATAAATGTGGCTCTAGTGAAAAGGGGTACAAATAAAAAAAAACCAACTTTAGATGGAGACGCGCAAAAGAGTTACAGCTTAATATGATATTAAGCGTTGAGAGTTTTTCGCGTTTCCTTGTAAAGTTGACTTATTGTACCGCTTTATACTAGCGCCACAGAAATAATCTTTTACTACACATAGCGCACTATAAGTTTCCGGAACTGAACACTTACATAAACAATATTTAAAAAGTAATTACAAAATTTGAAAATAGAACTCTTTGGCTGTAACATTTGTCTCATCCGACTGTCACTTGTTTTTACAATGTGGCGTCATTTTAAAAATTGGTTGTCTACATCACCATGGATTTAACTCGTGAAAATTTTCGTAGTATGATTTTCTACGACTTTAAGTGTAATTTAACAGCTCAGCGGAGCTTCGCTCGGCTTCAAACTGCTTTTGGCGATGAAACACCATGCAAGACGACTATTTATAGCTGGTTTGCATAATTCAATGTGTGAATCTCAGCGACGAATTTCGTGATGGTCGCCCATCCACTGTTGTGAACAACAAAAACATCGATGCTGTGAGCCGTTTAATCAAAACAGACAGGCATGTGACATACCATGAGGTTCGGGCATCTTTAGGCATAGGCATGAGTCAAATACAATCAATACTACACAAACTTTTGGGTGTGAAAAAGCTGTGCTCTCGGTGGATACCACACAATTTGACTGAGGCTCAAAATACGGGTCGCGTCACTTGGTGCAATGCCATGCTTACCAGATTCAACGAAGGGGCGTCAAATTTGGTGTGGTAATAGGTGACGAAATATGGATTTATAGTTACGAACCCAAAACAAAGCAGCAATTGAGCGTATGTGTCTTTCGAAATGAGCCGAAATCAACCAAAGTGGCGCGCGTGCAAAGTGCCTCTAAGCGGATGATTGCTTCTTTTTTTAATAAAACTGGACACGTAGCTACTGTTGCTTTGGAGAATCGTTGTACCATGAATAATAATTGGTACACAACCACTTGTTTGCCGGAAGTTATTGACAAACTCCGTAAAAATACCCGTAAACGCCATATCATCTTGCACCACGATAATGCCAGTCCTCACACGGCCAGACAAACAAATGAATTTTTGAAGGTGAACAATGTTGACCTTATGAGCCATCCCGCGTACAGTCCCGAACTGGCACCTTGTGACTTTTATTTATTTCCAAAAATTGAGAACCAGTTACGCGGTCAACGGTAAACGGGGTATCTACACCCAGTGGATAAATAAGATGCTTGTGGATAATAGGCGTGGAAATAGGCTTTATATACCTAAATTAATTTTGTATTTCGAGAAAAAATTAAATTAATTAAAAATAATTGTGCTCCAGCCACACAGAGGTGGCCGCGGAAGCGGAACCGGGCGCGGTAATTTTTACCGCGCGTTTCAGTGTGGCACATTCCAAAAATTCTCTCGCCCGGAACGCTTCCGCGGCCGCCTCTGTGTAGCCAAAGCATTAGCCATGCGCGTGACGGTTTCGTGTACGATCTGTGTCTTCTTTTTACTTTATGGGCTACGGCCTGCACGTTGCGCGGACAATGTCGCCATGTGCTAGACACGGGGCTTCCAGAAACTCACGAGATAAATTAATGTAGTCCAAACATATATTTCTCTCGGCCCAGTAATCGAACCTGGGACCTCTGCGTGGCAGTCCGGCATGGTGATCGTTCGGCCACGGAGGTAGTTATATAATAGTGTGTCAGGTAGACTCACCTACATATGAATTGGCGAAATAAGTGTCGCGCACAAGAATGTTCTGGCCACACAGAGGCGGCCCGGAAGCGTAGCCAGAGCATTAAACTTCTAGCGGGCACGACGGCCTCCTTTGTAAAGGACTCAAGGCATTGGGATTTACAGTACTTGACCGTTGTTGTTACCCATCTCCTAAATTTATTATCTTTCTGTTTTAGTCAAAATACTGGGTGTTAATTGTTCTTAACCATTTTTCAGATGCAAATATTCCTAAGTATCTCGAGGAGTGCGCTATGGTGGCGCGGCGTTACTTGCTCAAGCAATCGGACGACACTCTTCCTGCGGCCAGGAGACATCTCAGAATGTAAATAATCTACATTCGACACTATATCTGCTACATGCGTCATCACACGAGTTGGTTAGATAAAATTCATCTATTACAGCGCTTCAATACAAAAACGTATAGTAAGAAATAAAAATCAAAACAAAAAATAAAATAACTGTAATCAAATTATAAACGATCAACACACTTTGAATAAATGTCATGTGTGCAGTGGTGGCGTACATAAAAGGATCCACTCAGCTAATGTCACAGCCGAGTAAAGACTGTGACGCTGGTTTTTAGTGAACCCTAAAACCAAGTGAATAACCGAATGCGTCTGCGCAGTTTGTAAAATAAAATAAATTACTTTTTTTTATTACCTATACCAAGTGACGAGAGGAACGAGTCGTGGGCCCGGTGCTTAGCGAGCACGTCTGTGCATGACAGTTGCAGGGCCACTCAGAGCTATAAAACGCAAAAATCTGTGGGACACTGCCCCTGCGCCCGTCACCCTGCGGCATAACTTGACAAGTCCCATGTGCCTGTAATTTTACCTGCACGTCTACCCTTCAAAACCGGTGCAGACGGCAGAAATAGATAAAGTGACAGTACTTCCCTGGACGAACACTTTCACATGGAACTGTGCTGCTCGTTAAATTTTAAAAAAACGTAAATATTGCTATCAATGACTCTTATCTGGGGGCTCAACTCTCGAAGCACTAAATCCGTTTTCCCACTACGGATGACCCATGAAACTATTCTCGAAATCTTACAACGAAACGATGGGCCCGTTCGAAACTGTCAAACCGCATTGTCATACATTCTTAGTTCTAGCACCAATCAAAACTCAAGTCTATAGGCATCGAGTATATAACCTGAAATAGAGACGTAATATCATTTAATTTATTTGAAAACTATTTTACCAAATCATTACGGTGAAAACTGACGGGTGTCGTCAATTGTTTCACTTCAAATTGACCAGTTTAACTTGAGCTTTGCTATAATGGACGTAAATTGGAAAATGACATATTTCATATTTAATTACCTATGAAATGTGATTTCGTTTGTTTTGTAATTAGATGTTTTGCTGTTTTTCCCACACCACCGGAACCGCCCCCCATTGTTAGAGATATTATCTTTATTACAATAAAAACAGAATATTTTTGGAATATACGGAGACGTCTAATTTATGGTCTCAGCGCAAACGAGAGTTGATCGTTAAAAGTGACATAAGGTCCATTTGCCTGATAAGTTGTCAGGGATGGATGGCCCTTATTTCGTCTCTCTTTTTCTGGTTATATACTCGATGTCATCCATAGTGGGAAAAGGTCGTACCTACAGATTTCGTGCTTCCAGATAGATACCTGTCTCTGTCAAAGAACCGTCAAGCTCTCAAACTCTACTCAGAGCTCTCACAACCGAATTAGTTTTTTTTTTAATTTAGATAAGTTCGTTTTTCAACTTGGTTTTGATCTGAGGAGCGTCAGAGCAAAAACCGATAGAACATTACAACCACTACAACAATTATTTCAAAAATAAAATTATAAGTATATGATTTACTAAATTAAAAATAAACGAAGTGCGCCAATTTGTTACCATTATTAACACTGCCTCGTGACTTAAGATCTCGTTCTGTCGAGATTTAAAAAAAAAACAAGTTATCGGTTTCTGATTAGACTAATTGGATATAGCGGTGTCTGTTTTGATCGTAAAATTGTTTCATAACATTAAATCAGACCCCTCGTAGAAGTTAGCATAAGTGGGGTTACGTCAAACATGTTTATTGCTCCAATAGATACAGAAAAATATAACTCACATCATAGGATGTGTACATCTTGTAACTATATCTACAGTATTGGTCGATAGAGTTACAAGAATTGGAGAGGAACGAAGGGTGCGAAATGGATTTATAGGGTTTTGAAGGGATTAGATTGATAAGGGTTAAAGATATGTACAAAAACAATACATTACCGTATTGAAAAAATGCCAAAATGCGACTTATCGGTTTTCGTTCCGACGACGCTCCGCATTTGGAACCAATCACGTCGTCCAGAATGCTATACACAGCGCCACTAAGGTTGATCATATTTCTGCTTGCAGATTGTACGTGGTGGACAGACTGTGCAAGACAATCTTCGCCTGCCTTTTAATGTGGTTAATTTTCAAGAGTTTCTCTTCATACTTCTGTACTTCTAGTACCCAGATTCAAGAACTATAATAACTATAAATCGCACCGTTAATATAATAAAGCCATGTGATAATTCATCAAAAGTACTTTTATCACATGAAAATAATAAAATTAATACTAACTATAGCTAGTATAAGGGTTTAAATAATTAACTAAAAGCACACCACGGACACTCCACACAACGGCAACGGTCGAAAGTTATTTACCCACTACTACAGCAAGGCGCTATCTGCACACGCGCAAATGTGTACGTAAAGTGATAGGGTTACCATCACTTTCTCGTACTATCGTCTGCAAAAATTAAACAAAGTTCAGCTGTCACTTGGTTAACCAGTACAATATTTAGTAGTGAGTCTCATACGTCGTATTACTGCTGGACTCTTTAACTTGGTCGCATATTATTAGCTGTCATGTTATAAAGACTGGATTTTAGATTGTTTATCGTGTGATGTCTCAATCAGATCTAATTTAGATAGCAAGCGCTTATTTCAATTTTGTCGCGCGGGAGTTGATGTACCTATTTATAATAAATATCATAATAACGCACACACATAATCACTGTGTTTGTTCAACAAAACCGTTTTTCCCACTTTTTCCTAACTTTTTTCGCGATCACTACACAATTCTAAATGAAATTCTTCTTTCGGATCTCAATTTGTATTGTGTCGGAGCGGAATGAAAGCGCATGCTCGAGAATGCTCGCGCATTCCGCTGAAGATTCTGGCTCGTATCTAGTTTGTACGTAACACAATTGACCATAAAGTTCATAACGCTATGTATAATATTGTTACAAAAATTCGCTTCCATTCCGTTCCAAATATGAATTGAGCCTAAAACTGCCGTGACCACAGACATTATTATCTAAATAGACGCCTCAAGTGTACCTACTTCTCGTCCACAATGTATCACGGCTTCATTACTCCACAAAGTCTGCCGACATTGTGGAGTATATACGGGTGAAAGCAGCTGGGGTCCCGCTACAATGTAAATTTTAATTCATTTGTGGTGAGAGTACCAACTTAACATCTGTCGACCTTCATGAAGGATGAATTTTGGCCGTAGGGTGTCATGTACCGACGTTTCCGAGGCCGGCTACCGGACACCCACGTTGCGTCACACGTCGCAGACAATATGTGTAAATAATAATTACTCATAAGTGTTTTATTGTATTATTAAGTATAAATATACATAATAATAATAAGGTATGTGTTTATGGGTCTTTGTAACCTGAATACAAATAAATAAATAAAATGAATGTATGCTACAAACACTTAGTTGCCGCTGTCGCTGCTGTCGTAGTTAAACATCAATCGAAAACGCGAAAAATACCTAATAGTGCGATTAGAAACTGCAAAAACACCACTGCTGTGAGAAGATAAATAAACAGGAACATTTCCTTCCACAGTTATGTAATTTTGCAATCATAATATGCATAATTTATTTTAAAATCAATTATTTTAATTTAGAATGAATTTCGAGAAAACAAATATGCAAACGAGTGTATTCCGCGTGATTCGTAATATATTGCGGCTTTTACTTTGTGTGGTACACTTGTGATACTTCTTTAGTAGGCCCTGAATATCTAACGAGCGATACTTTCGTATAATGCATTCAGTTTCGTGGTACTGTCACTTCATCATGTTTTTGGATGATGTTCATGAATGTTCACTTGATGAAACACAGTTATCGATTCTAATCGACTAGGAAACAAAGGGATGATAATTCATAAGATCTTAGAAAAATATAATATATAATATAAAAATATTCTATAAAGTTTGTTGTTGTTTTTTTTAGTTTCCCGGAGCAACTATTTTTAACACGTATTAATAAAGGACTTAATTATGTTTTTCTGGTATTATTTTACTATTTTAATATTTCACAGCTTATTATAATCAACAAAATTAAATACTTGAAAATTCATTATTCTAAATTTATACCTGCGGCGTCTTCGATTTAATAAATCACTTTAGTGGCTAAGAAGGTTTCCCATCACAAAATAGCGCTCTTGTTACGTCATCGGAGGTATAAAAAATGTGACACGCTTGGTTTTCATTTACTTGCGGTGTCTATTTAGATAGGTATATGTCTGTGGCCGTGACCACCGGACCTGTAAAGAACCCAAAACGTTGGTTCGTTTGAAAAAATATATATACGCGATTTTAGATCCGAATAGATAGGTTCGTTCACAAACTCCTTCTTTATTCTAGCCTTCTGTTTCCTTCGTTCAACACATAGTTCCAAAAAATCACGTGGTATAAGCGAAAAATCAATCAATAGTATTTTGTCATTGACTTACAAATAAATGGACGACGTGTCTAATACAAAAACCACGAAAAAAATGTCCCAAGTCAACCTATTCGAAATTTAAATTGTAATGTCATCGCAGTATCGCGCTGTCGGTCGAACAAATGAAGACTAAAGCGGAGTTTGGCGCTCTGTATACGATTTTAGCGCCTTACAAGTGCGGACACTTTTTAGCGCGGACCCGACGTCCATATAATTGTAAGTCAATGTATTTTGTGCAATCGTTGCACAATGAGGGTTTTTAAAGTCGAATACCGTGTTTAAACCACGAGTAAGAATTGTTCTTAAAATAATATTCATAAAATTATAGATAATGACTTTGAAATAAGGGAACCAATTAAAATTGCAACTGAAATTGACAATTATTTCATAGAATCGATTTTCAATTTAAAACACAATGCGTAATGTAGGTAGTACCCTAATAATAAAATTTTAAGTTCAATTTTCCTAGCTCCTGTAGACGAGAATGAAATTAGTAAAATTATAATATCGCTAAATAATACCCCGTCTGAGGTTTATGACTGTATATGTGCAATGTATGTATAAAACGTTGCAAGGATCAAATTATCCACGTACTTGCCTGTTTAATTAATCTCTCTTTAGAATCTGGAACATTCCCAGAAAAATTAAATGCTAAAAAATAGGACACAACAGACATTACAAATAATCGATCCATTACCCTAATTCCAGTTTTTTCAAAAACATTTGAGAGTCATGTACAATGTACATATATCCTACTGCAATAGTTTCAAAATTGTGCAAGACAACCAATACGGGTTTCAAAAAATAAAACAACAGTACATGCGTATTTCATATAGTTAGCATGATTTTACAAAACGTAAATAGAAAACTCTACACGACCATTATATTTTTAGACACGACCAGAGCTTTTGACACATTTGCACATGATATACTACCGACTAAATTAGAGCGTAATGGAATACGGCGACCTGCACTAATCTGGTTAGAATCATATCTGAAAAATAGGTTACAATGTGTAGAAATAACTCTATTAAACACACAAAACTGTATTGAAATTTATAAATCCAACTTTAAGTATATACAATAATTACGGAGTTCCCCAGGGTAGTGTACTTGGTCCCCAGCTGTTCCTATTATACATTAGTGACATAAGTGAATGCACGGAATACGACTATTCTTTTTGCGGCCGGGAGTATCAGTGGTTGTCACTTTGTCCAATATATTTAACATTGGAAGAACTCAATAATGAATTATTAAAAACATTGAGTTTGTTAATTGAATGGCTACAAAAAACAATATTCTAATAAATTTACCTAAGACTAATGAATGATGTAATGAATTTTATTAATTTACGGAATCAAACAGTATGAATAATTATAAGGTAGAAGCTTTGCAGAACGCCACCGATGTGACATTTTTACGATTAATTGTAGATTAGAAGCTGAATTGGAAGCAATAAACAGAGAAAGTGTGCATTAAAATAAAATAGATTTGCTTTTGCTCTGTATAAATTGACCAGAGTGACAAATAAATGCAAAACAATGACAGCGTATTTTGCGTATGTAGAATCTGTGCTCAGATACGGCCTTATTATTCGGGCGAATGGCACAGACTTCAGGAAAGCTTTTATTGCTCAAAAGAGGTGTATACGAGCCTTCTGCAACTTAGCACCAGATGCATTATGTCGTCCCCATTTTAAAACGCTAAAAATATTAACTCTGCCCTGTGTA